AGGGACAGCACTGGATATCAGTGTTCTTCATGCAACCTTCTTAGAGATACCTCATGTTCTGTAAAGTTACTGGTACACTTCCTGTCTTTTATGGAAAAATACTGTGTAAAAGGAAAAGACAACTGAGAAAACCTACCTGAATTTCCTAAGCAGCTACATATTTTGACAGAAAATTGTTCTCCTGTAATTTCCTGTAATTTCTTTTGTGAAAGAAATACCAAATCTAAACAAGATTATAATCTCTTTACACAATCTATTTACTACAATGTTTTAGCAAAGATGTTAAAGAAAATAGTAATTTTTTTCCGTAAGTATTACCTGAATTCTTTTATAATGCTGTAGAACTTCAATAAATGGTTTTAAGATGGCAAGAAGATAAAGTTGTTTTGGGAAAAAATTTCATAGAGTCAGAATCATAGGTTATAAATTAATCTTATGTGACAAAGAACCAACTTATCCCTATATCAGAATGTATGAATTTTTAGGATTCAGGAGGACAGAGTCTATTTGTAGTGCATTTTTTCTAAGGTAGGATTAAAAAAAAAATTCATTTCACTAAGACATTACAAAGTTTTTGCATGAAAAGAAAGGCCATAGTTGAAAGAGCTGACTGTAATTAATGCCCAAAAAATAAAGATCATATTTGTTATTATTTCAAGTCATCCTCTGTTGTCAACAGATAAAGTACAAAAAGAACCCTAATTAACATGTAAAATCACAGGAAAAACTGAAAACAAAGAAAACAATCCTAATGTCTTCTGAAGATCTTTTTGTCCTCCAAAAAAACTTCGATGCACTCTGTGACTTCTGTCAGTTATTAAAACTCAAGAGTTATCAGAAAAAGTATCATGTGTTATCAGTTTTACTGTACTGATCTGTGGAGACAGAACAGGCACATAGGTAACTCTCAAACCAATTACGGCTTTAAAGATGATCACCATCTTCCATTATGTTGTTAGCTAATTAAATTTTTCTAGTCATTACTATTTATCATTGAGACCTGACAAAAACCTTTGAAATCATTAAGCCTTTGCTTTTTCTTCAGCTGGTTTTGTTTCTGGTCCTGTAGGCTAGATGCTAACATCCATTTAGAGGCTTTAAGGAAAATTATTCCCACTGAAAGATTTGCTGACCTACGTACTTATTAGACAAATCATGAGCTTCGCTCATGAATATGCTGATATCTTTCAGTGAAGACATACTGTATACAATATTTATGTTCTGAGACTATGGAATCTGAAGACTAACTGTGCCTGCCAGTATGAGTACAGGAAAAATTTTCTGTCCTTTCGCAACCTCTGGTTGACTAAATAATTTGTATTATAACTCAACATTATAACATGTTGAAATAAATCTCTAAATCATGCATATCTGGAACACAGTTTTCATTCTCGAAGAGAAGCAATTTCTGTCAACTTAAGCATAAGAAATGCAGATTTCTAAACTTCTACTAACAACATGTCACTGTTTTAAAAGTTTGTTTTGCTTATATAAATCCTATTAAAAGGTTGTGTTTGGTACTTATTGAAAGGCATAAATGCCTCCTTGCCGAAAATAGTTGAATTAACTTTGAAACCTCAGATGCTTTAGCAGAGAATAGCAAAATTTATTGAGAACACAATTGCAGGCTTTCATATTTTAAATCTGTAAATCAGAAGGAAGGTTTATTGGAGGGAGATCATACCCATGGTGTAATGGTATAGGTCATCATTCACATATTAAAAGGAAAAATATTAAAGAAAAGTATGCGTAGTTGATTGTGTAAATCCATCATGTGCCCAAAGAATGTTTCAAGTTGCTGTATGGAAACAATCAGAACTTTCTAATATCTTTTAGCAACATTGGGGTGTACAAGTAGAATAATAGAAATGCTTCAATGCTCTAATAAGAAAAGAATTAATTATGAAAACAATATTTCCTGTTTATTTCTGTTGCTGCTGTATTTTATTGATTTAATGGAGGTATAGTTTCTTGTTATACAGTGTTATTATATAGTGTGAGAATACCTGCTTATATCACGTTTGGCACTGTTTTTGCCATGCAGGATGCATTAGCTCATGATGGATGGCTTCCTCACAGAAAAACAGTGAATACCTTTGTTACATGCCCTTGCATTACAGGACCTTCACACTGTGTTACCACCAAGTCAGAGGTACAAACTGCTGAGCTGCTCATGTATGACTTAGCATTCTGTGTGGGTTTTCTTCATTTACTTCTGCATGAAAAACAGAAAAAAATATGCACATATTTTGTATCGTGGTTTACTGTATTCATTTATGATTCCATATTCATTGCTCAGCTAATAATTCATTATATTTCTTCTTGAACTTTAGAACAATCCTGTACAACCAGTGGCACAATTCAGTGAAATGGTGTAGTGGGTTGATCCTGGCTGGTCGCCAGGTACTCACCAAAGTCACCCTATCATCCCCTCTGCAACTGGACAGAGGAGAGTAAATATAACGAAGGATTCATGAGCTGAGATAAGAACTGGGAGAGATCATTCACCGATCACTGTCACAGGCAAAACAGACTTGAAGTGGGGATATTAATTAAATTTATTACTGACAGAATCAGAGAAGGAAAATGAGAAGTAAAATACATCTTAAAAACACCTGCCCCCCACCCGTCTCTCCTTCCCAAGTTCTACCTACTCTGCCCACAGCGGCATAGGGAGACGAGAAGTGGGGGTTATGGTCAGTTCACCACAAGTTGTTTCTGCCTTTCTGCTGCTGCTTGGGGAGGGGAGTCCTTTCTCTGCTCCACCATGGTCTCCCTCCCACAGGAGAGCGCTTCTCCAGCATGAGTCCAACCCACGGGCAGCAGTTCTTCACAAACTGCTGCAATGTGGGTCACTTTTCCACAGGGTGCAGTCCTTCAGGCACAGACTGTTCCAGTGTGGGTCCCCCACAGGGCCACAAGTCCTACCTGCAAACCTGCTCCAGTGCTCTTCTCTCCATGGGTCAGTAGACCCCTGCCAGGATCCTACTCCAGCATGGGCCTCCCATGGGGTCACAGCCTCCTTTGGGCATCTACCTGCTCCGGTGTGGGTCTCCTCCATGGGCTGCAGGTGGATCCTTGCACCCCCGTGGTCCTCCATGGGCTGCAGGGGGACAACCTGCTTCACCATGGTCTGCACCACGGGCTGCAGGGAAACCTCAGCTCCAACACCTGGAGCACCTCCTCCCCCTCCTCTACTGGCCTTGGTGTTGCACTGTTGTTCACATGTTCTCACTCCACTCTTCTCTAGCTGCAGTTTTCATCTGCCCAATAACTTTTTTTTTCACCCTTCTTAAATACATTATCACAGAGACATTACTGTCATTCCTGATGGGCTCGGCCTTGGCCAGCGGTGGGTCCATCCTGGAGCTGCCAGGTATTGGCTCTGCAGGACACAGGAGAAGCTTCAAGCAGCTTCTCACAGAAGCCACCCCTGTCAACCCCTTCTGCTACCAAAACCTGGCCAGACAAACCCAACACCCTTGCATATACTGCTTCTTTCTTTTAATTTTTCTCTTTCTTTTTCCTCTTCCCATATACCTACTTTAGCTGAAAAGATAATCAAGGACACTGTCATTCAAATGAAATGCTACTACTCTCTGATAATATAGGAATTCAGTTTAGTATTCTCTGAGTATTTAAAACTGATAGGGTTCTTTTTCTTATTCTGTATAGTATTTTGAGAATTATATATGGTTTTAATATCTCTTTTTGAATTCATGATGTAAAGATGCAAACAACTGACAGGAATGTTACATTGTGTTGAATTCCAGTTAAGCAAAGCAGGTTTCTGAAGGAGAATTTAATCCTGCAGATTTTACTCAGGTTTCATTTACTAAAAATCCATGCTGACATCAAGAAATGAAAAGGGAATATTAAATTCAGAATGTGATCTGCAGTCATTTTTATTATTTAATTAAATTCAAACAGAACACATTCCTGTAAAGGACTGTATTGCATCATTCTAGCCCATGTCCTGCTTAGCTGACAGTGTGAAATAACCTTGATCTTCAGGAAGAGTACTTCAGTTACAGTACCAACATTAGGATTCTACTTTTTATATCATCATAACTAATTTTCCCATGTGAAAGGAAATTATTTAGTTGAAGGTCTTGGGACTGTCACCCACTCCAAATCTCAGCCTGGCAATCAAGTTCATCCGTCCATGGTAGTCATTTTATTTTCATAACAACTAAGTTTCTGAAGGAGGCACAATACTTTCCTTTACACAGTCTTTAATGACAGTGTTACTGAACTTGTTTGCAGATCTAAGGCAAAAATGGGTCATCCACTAGACTGTGAAGGCCTGTGGAGTACGTGTTTAGGAAATCTAGTGCTCATTCAAAAGAGTTATTGTAACCCGAAGAATACTACATTAGTTCTTAGAAAGCTTAAATAGCACCTACAGAGCTTAGAAGAAAATTTCTGCATAGAACTCTGCTTAATGAAGGCAGTAGATATTTTAATCTCTACCTTGTAATGGAGAATTAGAAAAATAATGAAACTGAATTATTTGCTAAGGTTACTCAGCAGGTCAAAGTGACATAATAAAGTGCAATTAGCAAAGGAGCAGGTTTGCTAGTAAGAAGCTGCATCAGGAAATGAAACACAGGACATATTCAGAACTGTGGTTTGTTGTGAGAACTGAACTCCCTTGTCTATCATGCAGATGTACTATTATCACTTGGCACCTGCTGGACTTTACCAGGCAACTGGATGAAGCGGCAGAATGTGTGTGTGTAAGAAATATACATACATACATATGTCAGATTTACATTCAAGAAGTGTTATTATCTTCATCCCTTTGCATTATAACTCTGTTTTTCTATAGCTGCATCAATTGTTGCCATGGTAAGTTTCTCACACTGTATGTCTTTGATGAAGAAGAAATACATCTCTAAATACTCATAAGGGCTTGAGACTCCTGGTGATACCTGATGTCCTCCCTATAGCACTGAACACATTGGGATTGAACCCTAAAAACCTACATATTCTGAAATTTTATAGTGCTGACAGTTCTAGAAATAACAGAAGTTCTATTTTAGACCGTTTTAGGGATAATTTTAGATTCAGCGTTGTTTGGGTTTTACTACTTTGAAGTCTGCTAGGCTAAATTAATGGAAATAAGGCATCTGACTTTGTAATAGCTAGTCAACCAAAAATAACCCTAAGACTATGTTTAAGGATCTAGAAAACTGTGTTAGTTTTTTTTAATATGACAACATTTTATACCAAGTTCTTCATCTGGACTTATGTGGATGACTCATTTTCATTCACAGCTCTCATAGATAAAATACAGAACCCCAAAACAAACTATACAACTTTAATCTGTCATGCCTCCATTTCTCTCATTTATCTTGTAAATATACTCTTGGCAGGGCTGGTAATTTTAGCTACCATTGAGATAACCAGTACAGTCTGTAAATGCAACTGTGTCCACTTCAAATTAAATTAACCATGATGACTATCTGCTCAATCCAAAGATTTTGGATGCTAAACAGTTGAGAAAAATAAAAGATTTTGGGAATTTACAAAATAATAAAAGTTCCTTTTTTGTTATCAAATATCTGTGAAAGTATATTGCAAAATATGTGCCACAATATGCTCGGTGGCTGGTTTCTCATGCATAAGAGAAAAAGAACTCCCTTCCTTTGTCAGACCTGACCAGTATCCTAACCAGTATCTTTTTTCTGTCAGATCCAGAAATGGATGTTTGGGGTGCATGGTGGAGGGGTTAGGAGAAATACATAGAACAAGTAGAAGCTCTGCTGTATTAGCAAATTAACACCAGACTGGTTCTATCTCAGACTTGTCTTCCCAGTGCCCGTCTCTTTAACTCCACTGTCTTGCCTAATGTACAAATAGATGTCTGTGATAGTAATGTATAAAAGTTGTGTGTCCAAATGAGCTTTTATCCATAGAACCACTGGCTGACATTCCCAGGTGCTGGGGTCTCTGCAGTGATTTGCGTTACAAGAAAAGTGGGGGGTGTTTAATGACCAAATAGCTGAGTTTGACTAAAGCAGAGGAATGGATTATATTATCCTTCAGCATATCTACCAGCAGAATTTTGTGTGAGGGAAATTGCTCAAAGTAAAAGCCTGCTAATGCTGTATTTCTTGTTGTCTTGAGGTCTTACAGAAAATCTTAGGATCTGATTTTCATCAGAGTTACAAGTGGCATCACAGGAGTTTTTCCTGACTGTGCAAAGTGCTGTTTAAGGTTAGGTGCAAGCATTGGGTTTCCCAGGGTATGTAACAGTGGGGAATGTTTTATTTTAACTCAGAAATGTAATAAAAAATTAGTCACACTAATGAGGTATTGACATACTATAGCCACAAGTGACCAGAAAACCAACTGCAAAATTCATAATTTTGTCAAGAAAAATTAAAGATTTGAATAGAGTTAAGCAATTAATAAAGGAATAACACATTGAATAATGAAGATAAAAGAAATATTGAATGTTTTTCAGTGCCCTTTCTTATACATGAAATTAAGCAGGAAAAAAATATAACTTAACCATTGTAGACTCAATGGTTGAAACAAAAAAAAGAATAAAACCAATTTACCCCAACCACTGACTACATCAAATGTATACATGAAAAGACCTGAATTAGGGTTTCACTGGCTTGTAACTGGTATTTAACTAACTTCACAGTGCTTGGCTTGCTTTAACCATTTATTTTGCAAGCCTGATATTTATACCTACCTAATATTTTTCATCAAGGAAAAGTTTATGGAAAGGTTTACATAATTTGCAAATTGAAAATTCCTGTATCAGAAATTTGCTTAGGGTATGAGGAATTCTCCTGAGAGTCCTAAAAATTATTTTCTGATTCTTTCCTGAAAATCTCTTTGGTTTGGAGAATATCATGAGACATCCACAAAGTTGTTGTTTACCGACTCAGTAAACTTGCTAGAAGCAATAAAAAAATGTGTATGTTCCCCTACCCCACTAATGAGATTTTTTTTCTTCTATGCAAAGTTACCTTAGTGTGACAGTTGGGGAAGTATTGAGCACATTCATCATCCAACTTCAAATACCTAGCTTTTGCCACTGTGGGTACTTAGGGTACCTATGCATTCAGTGGAGTGATCTTTGCTTACAGAAAATAATTCAGAGTACCTTAGCCAGGTATCTGGATGTAGACAAGTACACAAGCCTCCATTGGCTGGCTGAAAAGACTAACTAATGTGTTTAAAAAAAAATACCTCCCTCCTCAGCCTTAATCTTCAAATTATCTCTTGATTCATTGATTTTAATAAGAACTGATTTTAATTAGTCTTTCATAGACCCGATTTTGTTAATATTAACAAGAAATGAAACTCCAACCCAACTTGTCCTCACAAGTTCCCATTCTCATCCATACCAGCATTCAGAATTCATTTACTCAGGATGAATATGATTATTCTGCTGTATTATCTGCATAGAGAGTGTTGGTATTCACACAATTCACTGCCACAACCTCCTTTTTTGTTACACTGTTCAAAGCATACTCATACTACCGTGCATGAACCATGGGCCTTCATCTCAAGTAGACTGCAAGTGCAGAAAAGGTATTGAGGCAGCACTTGATGAATTTGTAGCAGTATGAAAATTAAGAACTTAAATGAGAAAGCTAGGATAAAATTATAGCTAAAGTTTCATAAAGTAACTTTACGAAAAGGTTCAAAAAGTTTAAAAAAAAAAAGGAGAAATACCAGTTTTAGTTTGGTTTTCTCCTTTCCTTCTTTTTTGCTCTGCTGTGTACACCCATCATTTCAGAGACCCTAAAGAGGTGATCACATGCTCTCCCATTCTACTTGCAGGGCATAGGAATGTGTTAGAACTGTGTAGAAAATTCTGTTGTTATTTTTTGTAACTGCTTTATCTCATAGCATGCAGAACTTGGAAGGCAATGTCTTCCCAGAGTTTTCTGTCATCCAAACTATCCCTGTGTCACAGAGATGCTGTGTGAAGCTACATAAGTAATTCAAGCTAAAATATTAATGCAACAACTAATTTTATGTTTTTCATTGAATATGTCTGCCCAACTTTATCTTGATTTTCAGATTTTTGGAGCCTTAGGGAAGTACTGTACCTTTTGAATGGTGTTCAGGGAACTGAGAGTGCTCAACATCATTTGCAATAAATCACTCTGTTCTGAAGGACTGAGCCTCAGGTTGGGACTCTCCACAGCCCTGAGTTCTGGACCTCAGGCTACCACTCAGACTTAAAGTGATCTTCCAGTCTATCAGGTGAGCTGTGGTATTTTTCTATATATTTTTAGTTTATTTCAAATATGATGTAATTAGATCACCTCAGTCTGCAAAAAATAGGATTATTTTAAACTAGTTCTCATTACATTTGCCATTGGAAAAGCGCTCATACAGAGATACCTGTGGTGCATGTGACTTTGAGACAGGATAATGCATCTAAGTTCTTACACTCTGTTTCAGTCATAGAGAAATATAATCTTTAATAATCTTTCTCACAGAAGTAAACTATATTTGCACAGTATGTTGAACATACAAATACTTTTTAAAAAAGCAAAATATTTGAAGAAATCATCTCCACTTGTTATGAGTTAGCTCATTGAGAAGGTCATGTTAAAACCAGATTTTGCAGATTCTGGGTTTTTTTGATCTGTTCTCCACTTGTTCATCTATGAAAATATTGATATCTTCACTGCACTACTGTGAACATACATTTATTAATGTTTATAGGGTTCATTTACTGTAACACTGTTGCAACAAACTATGGACGATGAAAATCTGTAAGACATTAAATAAATCTACACCAGCAACTATTTGGATGAAAAAGAATAAACAAAAAAGAGTCAGACCACTAGAGTGTAAGACAGATACAAATATTTAATTCGGACTTCTATCCAGAATGAGTTAGGTCTTGTGGAGAGAAGGGTAGGAAGGCATCCTGTAATTAAAGTCTATGTCCTCCTGTATATACTAAAGAAAATCATCTAATTATATTGGAAATTATAAATCTAGCATTTCCTAAATCTTCCATACTAAATACTGCATTGTATTTTTCTAACATAAGTTTATATAGAGACATAATGTCATACAAAAATACAATTATTGCATTTAGTTATTAGAAATGAGCTTGTTTCTTCAGCAGCTTGTGAAACAAAAGACCGTTGTCAGCCTTTGTTCATGGTAGAGAGTGACATCTAGAAGGTTTCAGCTGACTAACAAAATTTATATCAATAGCTAATGTGGAGTTACACTGCAGCTGTACACACCTTCACTTCCTATACCTGAGGCACATCCACAATCCTTTCCTTGCTCCTCCTGACTGCATACCAGAAAACAGACCTGAAGCTTAGTCTGCACTGCAGAGCAGCATGAAACCCTCATGTAGAACCCAAATCCCTGTCATCATGTGTTCTGAAAGTGGTGACACTTTTTTTTGCCCACACTATTTTTGGATTTGCTCTTGCAAATGGTGATATTTTAAACTATGCCCTGCTTTAGATGTAGATTTTTGTCTGCAGAGAAAGAGCTAAAAGAATGCAGCCAGAAGCTATTCAAGCCTAACATGATTCTAGACTGAGGAAAAAAAAATCAGTGTATTTTTCAAGATTCCTTCTCCTAGCTAGAGCTGGAAATAAACCCTAGGTGACAGTATTCACACTCCAGTTTTAAGTAGGCTGTGAGTGAGATAAGAAACAGGTGGGAATATGCAGGTTTCTTAAGGGTTTACTTAGATTACAGTTAAATCTGTTAACACTTTGTAAATAGTAATCTAGGGCTCTTAGAAATGTTTTTATTTATTATTATTATTTGTGCTTTGCACATGGCAAATGGACCAAGAAGGGGGAAGCTGTTTGCTCTCTATCACACAGAATGCTGTTCATCAGAACTAAAATACCTTTACTTAGAGCCCAAACTCCTAACAATTGGACTAAGTTTCCTAAGATGGCTTCCAATTAAGACTTGTGTTCTTGTTAGTATTCTCGGAAACTTGAGAGTAGTGATTCTTTTTCAGTTGGTAACTACAGGTTTAAATAAGTGATAAAGTGTTCCAGAAGTTGGGAGACCCTGCTAGGTTTCTAGAAGTTTAACAAAAATCTACAGAGGAAGAAAGGGAAGTCTTGATTTTCCTGAGCAAGTTCCTGAGCAAGCCAGGACTTCATAGCAAAATACCAAGGTTCGTCTGATTCCATGACTTCCTTGCCTTTTCTGATTTTCTTGTTTTTCAGCTGTATATGTGTATACGTGCCTGTGTGTGTGTGTATATATGTGTGTATATATATGCACATATACTCAATTCTGGTCCAAAGGACAATTTAGCCCCTTTTCAGGTATGTGTCAAAAAAACCAAATGGCATGAAACTCCTTCCACTGTTTATAAAATGTGACTAAATACCTAGTGTAGACTATGTAGCTGTCTTTTAGGTAACTGAGATTGGGTGAAGTTAATCGCAACCTTAATAATTAAACTTCTAAGGGACAAAAGTTTTAAATTACAGTTGGGGGAGCTACTTTCATTAAAAGCTACAGATTGTGTGTATCATGTCATATCATATAATTAATCAAATTGTGTTAAAACTGAAAGAACACAAGGCTTGACACATATGCTAGTCTTTGGAGTTTGAGATAAGCCTGTTCTCTGCCCAGTGCTCTGTTGCGTAGCAAGAGGTTGAAAAGTGGGCATAAAGAAGCACAGCCCAATGCACGAGAGCTTTGCACAGACCATTCAAGGCTTCACTTTGAGCTCCCCGTGTGCAGCATTCACCTCATGGAAACTGTCCTATGGAGTTTCCTAGAAGTGGGTTTTCTGTACTTCTGTAACCTTTGCTAATTCTTTCCTCCACTGGTTTTGTTGTTGAATTGTTTGTTTACTAAAATGTTTGTTTAGGAGAAGGCACTTCTGTTGATAACCTTCACAATTTCAAAAGGTAGACCAGACACTTCCATCTGTATTTGAGCATTGAAGACATACTTTTGTTTTCAGAAGCACTGACAGCCTTCAGGTTTCACTAGCCTTAACTTCAGGTTCTCAAAAATCAGGAGTTGTCACTGGCATGCAAGATCTACACGTCCTGACCCAAAACATATTTTTTGTACTTCTCGTCTTGCATCTTTATACAGATGGATAAAGATATATAAAGACATATCATTATACTGTGGAAATTAATGTATTATAGATTTTGAGACAGCCAGCTGGTATGAATGAAAGCCAGAGAAGTACTGAAGATGCATATATTACACTAATGTTTTACTAATATCTGGAATTGCAGCTGAAGTGAACCTCCTTTATTTTCCTAAAAGCATCCCTAAAGACTGGATATGTTGCTGTACTCTTACACTATAGTGAGGATCTCCAAAATCAGGTAAGTAAATGAGGAGATAAATTATATAAGTATATGCATTTTTTCTCAAGATAGATAAAATTAAATGTAGGAGAATACTCAGCCTGAAGCTAATAGACATAAGACACTGTGAACCATACTAGTAATAAAGATATTAGGGTGCCAGTTATTCCCAGACCTTACTGGCAAGTTCTGTAGGTACAGATGTAACATGTAAGTTTGAGTAACTAATCTCTCCTTATAACACTGCTACAGTTTAGTCAGGGCTGAATCTAGCCTTTAGGCTGTGTCCTGAACTCTCTTTTCTCTCAAAGTCAAATATTTTTAGCTTTTATTGACCTAACCAGCTGACTCCGCTCAGCATTTGTTTTTGGTCAAATGCACTTCTCCCCTCTACATCTAAACTGACTGACCAAAGAAGTTGTGTTCTTCAGACATGAAATGAATTTTTATTACTGAAGTCCACAGTGCAGATCATTGGAAGTTATGTAATAATGTGAAAGGACATATAATTGAAAGGCTGTCAGAAGATGAAAGTGTATTAAGCTTCCCAGAGCATTCACATTTGCAACTCATGAAGCCTGATGACACTGAAAAAGCAATTCAGTGTTTAATGCATGCACCTCTGGTGGCAGCGCTCCTCCTCAGCGCTGGCTGTTGAAATATCACAGTCTGTAGCATAGGATTTAATACAGGAGTTTTCCATTAAAGATGTTAGCTGTTGCAGTTCGCAATAACTTCTAGCTCAGCTCACCTGCTGGGGACACAGTACTTTGTCCTTGAGTAAGCAGGATTGCTTTCATCCTATTCTTCTCGCTGGAGCAGAGAGGAAGTAGAGTGTGAGTACACATGGAGCAATGTACAACAAGGGAGTAACTGCAATACAGGCATATATTATTATTGGATTTGTTTTAAATGTCAAGCAATAATACATATGAAATAAAAGTAAGTCTGTAACTATCCTGACATTCTCCTAAATGTGCAGTAAAACAAATAATAAATAATAAAACTGTAGGTTACACTAATCAAATTCAAATCAGTTCAACTGCATAATTTTCAGTGAAGAGATGCTCATGAAACACAGAATAAACTGCAGAAGGGAAGGTTCATTGCTTCCTAATCAAAAGCAGTCAGCTTTAAACACCAGCCAGTCAGGTGATAGGTTTGTCATTTCTCAGCTGTGCTCTTGGAGGGAATTTGCCAAGAAGGCTTGACAGCCTTTAAACTTTGCAGAGCATTTTTTTGCCTGTTTCTGAACATCATGTTGATCTACAAAAACTCCTGGGAGACTGGGAGGAGAGGCAGAGTAACAGCAGTTCTATTAAAATATATTTACTGCAATGAATGTCAATCAGAGTTTATAGTGTGAAAAAACGTGCATTTTCAGAAGAGAAATTTTCACCACCCCGCAGGTCTGATTCTTTCTTGTCTAGTTCTGTCCAGCTACTCTGCGGGACTGAGGAGTGTCAATCATTAATTGCCTGAGTGTCAGAGAAGTAAAGGCTTGTAATGCATCACTAAAAGCCAGAAATCAGGGTGTCTGAATTATGATGGGAAGCTTTAAATGAATATATTACTGCTACATACAATTAACAGCCCAAGCCAGAAATCATTTACTTTCATAATGCAGAACAATGACAGCTCTCCAGTAAAAACATATTTACAGTAGTTTTACATTGCTTTCTAGAGGTTTCATGGAAAAGGGAGAGACAAAAATTAATATGCACCAAGGCAGTTACAGAGAACCCTGTCTTTGTACTGTTCTTTCCTTTTAATCAGCATGAGCTTTGCTAAATAGGGGAAAGAATTATGAGTAGGTCGCAAGCATCTAGGTTACTGAGGGCAAATCACTCTCAGAGGAATAACTTTGCAATTTGAGCAACAGAGTCCGACCTTTACGTGACTTAAGATGAACAGGTCTTCTCTGTTTTAACCCAGCAGGAACAGCAATTGCAAGGCAGCCAACCTGAAGTCCCTCAGCCACCTTTCCTTACATGAACAGAAGATCTGTTCTCCCTTCCCCTGGCAGTTATACCATTGTGCTGGAAGAATTTTCTACTGTCTTCTATTTCTATTTTCTAATGTCTTTTTAGTGTCTTCTGTTTCACATTCTCAAGTGTGGGACCTTACATATGTTGTAGTAGTTTTTGGTATTGGTTGAAGTCCCATTAAGCTTCTGAAGTTCTTAAATTGCTTCTTGGAGGGTTTGGGGTTTTTTTTCATGTAACTTAGGTTATAAAAGTAGCACCATAAACATTAATTGAAGAGCCATTAAGCAGTATGGCTGTTTGTTTTGGGTTGATAGAGGACATAAAGCTTCATACCCTGTGGTGGAAAACAATTAGATCTGATGATGAACATGCTATTAAATATACCATTACCAGACTTCTATCAGTTTAACTTTAGAAAATAGCAACCAGCTGTAGCCAAAGCATACACAAGTGATAGAAAGTCATATTTTAATATGACTGTTATAAATATTGTCTTTTCTAATGTTTTATGCTAATGACAGTGACTAATAGTAGTCATTACCTCCATTCATTCTCATAAAAATTTCCTCGAGAGGATGATCACAACTGGAATGCTGTTTAAAATAAACCATTTTTCTAAAATAGAGAACATAAAAAACATTTAAATACCAAGAGATTGGCTAGCTAATTTATTTTTTAATAGCATGTGTTCAACAACTACAGCTTTTGTTAATTGTGCTATCAGTTGAACAGATATTCCTTTCAGAAACATTTTTGGCGTACTAACGTGTGTACACGTCATGTCTTCATATGGTCTCTGAAGAATGGGATAAAAGGTGAATCTTATAGAGGCCAGAAAAAAAGTCTGATGCTACCCCTGTAGAGGCTTAATATTAAGAACATTGAATTTCCTCATCCATTTCTTATTTCAGTTATGAATTCTGCTTACTTGACAGGTACAGAGTACTTCATTATGTGCATGAACAGAAATGCTTAAATGGATGAAGCAGCTATTTATGTCTGATAGGAGCTAAGTGGGACATTAAATTAATGCCAAACAAGCGAGTGCTCATTTTAGTTTTGTTATAAATGGCTGCAGCACAGCAGTAATGTGTTGACTCTCATGTGCTGACAAGTTCTATATTTCTTACAAACTTCCCTTAGAGCTCGATGTGGAAAGACAAATTCACACTCTGCATGATGAAATTAGCAGCAGATGCATTAATAATTGAATAAGGATCTCTGGAGATATACCACAGTTCAGAAGGAGAGTTGTTGCCAGGCTGGTTTAAGTAGAGGCTTCTGTCATATACATATGTCATATACATAAGCTCCGAGTTAAGAGCTGCTGCCTGTATGTAGCCTTTGGTATCAAATCCGCTTCCTGCTTTTAGAAGACTTTGCATAGTTACATTTGACAGGTCCATGAGTAGACTTGACAACCATTAATTTGGGCAGAGTGTGCCCTTGCTCATCCCTCCTTTCTCTCTGACTATTCTGAAACGTAGGGGCAAATTCAACACAATTCCTTCTGGATTTGTCTCCAGACAAGGAATGGGGTATAAGTGACTGAAAGACTTTCACTGTATGCCAGACTCTTGCATTAGACCTCCATTCTTGTAGGGTTGAAAGTTTCCTGAAGTGCAGATCTCAGCTTCTCTCACAAAAGGATTAGGCCAATGGCATCCTGGCCTGGATCAGGAACAGTGTGGCCAACAGGTCCAGGGAAGTGATTCTTCCCCTGTACTCAGTGCTGGCAAGGCCACACCTGGAGTACTGTGTCCAGTTCTGGGCCCCTCAGTTCAGGAAGGATATTGAGGTGCTGGAGCAGGTCCAGAGAAGAGCAACGAGGCTGGTGAAGGGACTTGAGCACAAGTCCTATGAGGAGAGGCTGAGGGAGCTGGGGTTGTTTAGCCTGGAGAAGAGGAGGCTCAGAGGTGACCTCATCACTCTTCTTCAACTACCTGAAAGGAGATTGTAGCCAGGTGGGGATCGGTCTCTTCTCCCAGACAGCTATCAGTAAGACAAGAGGGCATGGTCTCAAGCTCTGCCAGGGGAGGTTTAGGTTAGATATTAGGAAGAAATTCTTTACAGGGAGGGTAATCAGGCATTGAAATGGGCTGCCCAGGGAAGTGGTGGATTTACCATCCCTGGAGGTTTTAAGATGAGACTGGATGTGGCACTTAGTGCCATGGTCTAGTAACCACAGCAGTAGTGGATCAAGGGTTGGACTTGATGATCTTGGAGGTCCCTTCCAACCCAGCTGATTCTGTGATTCTATACCATACTGCCATCTTCCTTTCCAGCAAAGGTGATCTCCTTTGATTTAACTACATACATCGGTTTGGGAAGGAAGGAATTTCACAGAATCACAGAATGGGTAAGGTTGGAAGGCACTGCGGTGAGTCATCTGATCCAACCTCCCTGCTCAAGCAGGGTTGTCCTAGAGCACATTGCGCAGAGGAGCCCAGAACCGGACACAGCACTCCGGGTGACGCCTCGCCAGGGCTGAGTAGAAGGGCAGGATCAGCTCCCTCAACCTCCTGGCAATGCTTTTCCTAATGCACTCCAGGTTACTATTGGCCTTCTTGGCCACATGAGCACACTGCTGGCTCAGTTTGAGTCTTTTTGACAATAGTGAAGAAAACAAGAGGATTGCCAGAAAAAAACTCTGCTTTTTAAAGATACCACCAAGGCCAGCCATGATGCAATTCCTAATAGTTACATTGTGATCACTCCTAACACCAAGTAATATTATGCTCAGAAGATACCTGACAAAGCAGTGTGACATTTCATACACAACACTACTATTGGAGCAAATTCTCGTGGGTTTAAAATCAGAATTTTATTGTACTAGTGCCAAGAGAGTAATAGCAATTTGAATAGTCTGAAAATTTGTCCCAGTTAGAAGAAGAGTGGCAAATTTTAGCACACTGTTACTGTACTAACTCCGCATAGCTCTCCCAACTATCCATGCAGACTTCAGGCACTGGTTTGGTCTGCACAGGTTGAAGTGAATTCTGTGTTTTGCTTTCCTCCAGTTACAGGTTA